TATATATATATATATATATAGAGAGAGAGAGAGAGAGAGAGATTGCATAGGGGTACTTTTAGGTTTTATCTTTCACTGTTGCGTTGATAGTGTATAAAGAACATAAGGAAATTAATATCAGGGGTTGGAACACATGACCTTCTAATTTTTGGGGCCTTGCACAACTTTTTTATTTTTTTCCCCTTCTTGACTTTTCTATAACTCATCAATCACATCTTCTCATAATGAATCGATCTTATTAATCCACCTGAACAATTATAGAACATTATACTATTGAGATTAAAAAGCTTTCAACCAGAAATATGTTAAAAGTCTCAAATTCAACAAAGGCTCAGACAAAAGCAAATAGCCAAACTGCGCATAAAAAGGAGATGTATCAAAGAATTATGCATCCGGAGATGTATCAAAGAATTATGCATCCGAAGATATTAACGCAACCAACATAATAACCCTACACGCAAATGTATACTTTTGATAATAGATTTGATATATAATCTCAATATATCACACATGCTTTTATATAAGAAGATACTGTCGCTCTAATGAAAAGGAAGTACAATAACACCACGAACAAAGTCCTGAAAACAAAGAATTGACACCGGGCACAGGCTGAATTGTTGCTTCATCAATTTGGCAATCTCACAGTTGGTTCATCAATTCATGCCCAATCCCCTCAAATCAAAAGCATGCATCCAAAAGGCAGCAACAGCAGAGGGCAGCCAAACTGCAAGCCAAGACAAAATTAAAAAGGTTAAGCTTTTAATTATGAGGATTGCTTCGGTACTCCTGAAATTATACTCCTGAAATTATACAATAAATTTTTTTTCTAGAAATGGTATTATTGGAATAGCCAAATAAAAAACACATTATTCCTCTGGATCCTCATTCAATTACTCCTGGACACCAAATTACTCTTGACCACCAAATTTTCACCTATAAAATTCCTACTCTAAAAGTCATCATTCAATTACTAAAGTCGGACAATAGCTGATGGAGGAAGCACCTGTTACACCTCGGCAATGAGACGATATAACATAGCAAAGACTAGTAATTGCTTATGGATCTCGGGTCGAACTCGAGACCAACTTGCTGAGGATCGCCTCTTTGCACGATCCCTCGGCAATGGATGGGGAATTTGAAAAGATGAGGGGTGAAGACGAAGTCAAGCTATTAACTACCCCTAAAAAGCCTCATAAATTACAAATGTGACCGTGAAAGTTGAAATAACCGTAGCTCTACCATGTCGGGAAATGAGAGAGAAATTTATTCATAGAAATTACGATACGTGCCATCGAAACTCCCAAAATTATTTTTGGGAGCGCGGAGGCTGTCGCCTTTATTTCATCCCAATCACAATGCGCTAATAAACAAACCTAAACTTTGGTACCTCGGTGGGGGGAAAAAGTCTAATTTGACAGCCTGGCGTAGGATAGAAAAGACCGGTGGCCCGTGCTATCATGGGCCACCGTGTCGTACTTGGACAAGACCAAGAGGCGAAGAACTCATGGGAGAGGGGCTATTTCGGGAAATAAAAGGGGGGCATTATCGGAATTATCAACGAAGAAGGTGGAGTTGTTATCACGTCAATGTCATCTTTTCGCAAAGCCAGAGAATAACACGAACACGTCACCGTCGACAACCCCTTGTCATGGCGCACAATAACACGGTGCTCTCTAGCGTGCGCCTGCCTCAGATCGAATTTTGCAGAGTCAATTTGGGTGAATTTCAGAAAAACCCCCCAAAAGCCACCTAAATTTAGGGGGTGATCGAATCGATTTGATTCTGTCATCTGGTTAAGGGCGCATTTATTGTCCTATTGACCAATTTTTGAGGGAATTATGCTTGAAATCTATTCGAAAAATCAGAATTTCTAATCTTATTTTGGTTTTCAATCTCTTCCCCCGGTTCCGCCAACCTTTCCCCTCTTTGTTAAATTACATCTCAGGATCACAAGATGCCTCGACAAATAAACAACATAAAGTAAAATAGACTTCATCTATTGCTAAATCAAAAGATTTTAAAAAAGAACAAATCTTTCGAACGCAGTCTCGTGGCGGCGCAAGATA